GCATTATGCATTCCAAACGTATCATAGGTGTGATGGATTCCTTCTTAAAGAAGGTAAGTTATGTGTATTGAGTTGTTCAATAAGGGAATTGCTTGTGCGCGAAGTGCATAGTGGAGGACTCATGAGGCATTTTGGGGTAACCAAAACTCTAGATATCTTGTATTAACATTTTTACTGGTCTAACATGAAAATGAATGAAGCACATCTATAGCCAGTGCATTGCATGTAGGTATGCCAACTTTAGAGTACTACATCATAGTCTTTATACACATTTACCTGTACCTGCGAAACCATGGATAGATATTTCTATGAGTTTTGTATTAGGATTGCTTAGGACCAAGATAGGTAATGATAACATATTTGTTATGGTGGACCAATTTAGTAAGATAAGAAATTTTATTGCATGCCATAAAATGAATGATGCAATAAATATCAAAAATTTATTCTTTAGGGTGTTGTGAAAATTCATGGCATACCTAAAACCATTATAAATGATAGAGATGTCAAGTTCTTTAGCTACTTTTGGTATGTATTATAGGATAAGTTAGGGACTAAACTATTATTCTCCACTGCATGTTACCCCAAACTGATAATCAAACTGAGTTGGTTAATAGGACCTTAGGTTTCCTATTAAGAGTCATGGTTCGTCGAAATCTACAGACTTGGTACGATTATTTACCTATAGTAGAGTTTGCCTATAACCGTAGTATTCACACTTCTACAGGGTTTTCACCTTTCAAGATAGTTTATGATTTTAACTTCTTAACTCCATTGGATCTTACACCATTCCTATGCAGGAAATTAAAAATATAGATGATTAACGGAGGGTTGAACTTACTAAACCCATACATGAGAAAACACGATAACATATTCATAAACAAAATGGATCCTACGCTTGCAACAGATAAAGGAAGAAAACGGGTTGTGTTTCAACCAGGAGATTAAGTTTAGGTTCATATGAGGAAACAAAGATTTCTTAAGCAATGAAAATCTAAATTAAATCCCAGGGGAGACGAACCGTTTTAAGTCTTGGAGTGTATCAATGACAACACATACAAGATTGACATACCAGTTGAGTATGGAATTTCTACTATTTTTAATGTTTCTGATCCTTCTCCTTTTAATGTAGGTGAAGATTCAAGGACGAATCTTTTCATAAAAAAGGGGGGATGATATGATCCCAAACACAACAAGTACTCAAAATAAAGTTGAAAGCAAGTCATCCTCAATTCCGTCTCAAAGAGGGAAAGATACAAGCATCCAAGATGAGGTAGGGCCAATAGGAAACCAAATACAATTGCCCAAAGGTTTGTTACAAGAAGCAAAGACAAGAAGTTTTAGAATATTTTCAATCTTTTGGTCCAATAGTGGGTGAATAACGAAATCATTATTAAAACCCAAAAGAAGGCCCAAAAAAAGCTATCCGGCCCACAAGACCTGCAAATAGCACTTGTCGCACATGTGACCTACCTTTGGCACATGTGCGGGAAAGCTCACCCTTACATACAAGACCATTTTTCACATTAAGTAACATGGGGGGTGTGCGTGCTCATGCGCATAGCCAACCAGATGCAAGCACAGCCCAGGCGCATGACTTTATCCACCCAGGTCTACGCTCAGGAGTCTATGCGCGTGCAAGGAGATTCGTGCGCCCATTCAACACAACCTATGCAACCGAGATAGGGGACTCGCATGCCCGTGCGCCTCTAACACGCATGACCCATGTGCCAAGTTAAAGCTACTAGCGCAAGCAACATGGTTTTAAGTCCTTTTTAGACTTTGTTTCTCACTTTTTTAAGTTCTCCAATGATTCTAAGTTGCAAGAGACTTCTACAAATTATTCCATGTGTTTAAAGTGCCAAATTAGAGGAGAATTTCGACTCAAATTAAAAGTCTATTGAAGATCAAGTTACTTGAAGATTTGGATAAGGATGAGAATATTTTATTAATTATTTCAATTATTTTAGATTATTTTAATTAAGTTTTGATAAAACTTAGATATTTTAATATTTTTATATTTATTTTCTAGTTAAATATTATTTAAGAGTTCAAGTAGGAAGTTGTTATTCTACTCTGAGTCGAACTAAAAAATAAAAGTTTATATAAAGGTTTTAGTTCATAGGTTGTAAAACACAACTTTCATATTAATATATTTTTAAGCTTTTGCTTTCTTAAAATTAGCTTGGCTAATTTTCTTAGGTATTGTCAAGTTTTTCAATGTTACAGAGCTTTCAGAAGTCTTGTTGAGCTAAAAAGTTGTGATCAACTTATCGGATAAGTCGTGACGTCTTTCTTTCCTCTTTATCTTTTCCTATTATCTTTTTTTACATGCCATATAAGTGAGTACAAATTCAAATATGGAGGATGAATTAGATGGTTAAATCTTCTAATTGCATGTGTTGGTTGAGATTTCAGAAGCCAAAACGATACTTCTCATACCCTCCTACATCACCATGCCTCTTGCCTAGGTTTACTATATAGCTCCGTACAAATTCACTATACGCATGCACGACTAGTACAGATCCCGCATACCTCTTACCTGGGGTCACTGTGTAACTTGTGCAGATTCCCCATACCTCACGCCTAGGTTCATTGCACCTAACCTAACATAATATAGGTAGGAGTCGAGCACCTTTCCCCATGATAGAAGATGCACCTAAAAACCAAATCCACCAGATAAAGATCACGTTATCATATTCTCAACAAAACCATCACATGTTTTAATCAAAATCATTTTAAAAAATATACTCAAATCATGTGTGCAAATAGTATCACAAAACTGCTTATACATATATATATTAAAATTATGTCAAAACTTCAAAACTACATAGTGCTAGTGAAGTCATAATATTCACTTACCTCAAGCCCAATTGCAACTTTTGACTCGGATAGAGTCTCCTTTTACATGATCTCTAAATCTTTATATTCACTTCATTAGAGTCTCCCCTTATAAAACCTCCAAGTTCTTCTGTTCACAGTCTCCCATTATAAAAGCTTCAATTTTTTGTTTTCAATTAGGTAAAGTCTCCCCTTGGTTTTTTTCAAATTTCTACCAAAATTTTAGCAGAATCTCCTCTTATAATTATTATTAGTTTTTAATTCAAAAGTACCCTCTCCATATAAGAATTTCATCCTTAAGAAAAAGGGTTCAAATTGTCATACCTTGTAGTACACGCAACAGAATCCTAACTTAGTATTTGACTTTTTTCTTCCGGGTATTTTGATAGACTCTTCAGATGCTTTTGAGCAATTTTTAGACTCAAAAACACCCATCACATCATTCAAAAATTATC